GTGCTGCTAACGTTATTAGCTCTCCTCTGATTGGTTGTTTACAATGAAACATGATCAGAGACCAGATGATTGACAGGTCTCTCTCTCCACCAGCATGTCTGTGTGGACTGTAAGAAGGACTACTGCAGCCGTTGCTCCACCCAGCTGGAGCCCCGCCCCCGCCTCTGTCACACCTGTCAGCGTTTCTACGGCAACCTGCTGGAGCGGGCGGAGCTGATGAAGCTGAAAGTGAAGGAGCTGAGAGACTACCTGCACCTGCATGAGGTGTCCACCCACCTGTGCAGAGAGAAGGTCACTTCCTGTCCTCCACTGAGCAGCTTGAATGTAGAAAACCGGGTCCCCGTTAAAACCCTCTGTGTCCCCTTTTGTTCAGGAGGAGCTGGTGGAGCTGGTCCTCGGGCAGCAGTCCTCCCCGTCCGACGAGTCCGCCCCCGAGACCCTGACCCCTGATCCCCCCTCTGTGACCTCTGACCCCCCTGACCTCACCCCTCACATCTCCACCTTGACCCTGGACTCCCCCGCCTCCACCCCCGAGCCCCCGGCCCCACAGCCTGAAGCCCCGCCCCCGCCTACAGAGACCGCCCCCGCCGAGCCCAACGTTCAGGACGAAGACCAGGTGAAACCAGAACAGGGGAGAGAGACTCAGGCAGGGTCTTGTTTTATGACTCAGGGTCTTGTTTTATAAGTCTAGGTCTCTTTTCTGAGTCAGGGTCTCTTTTCTGAGTCAGGGTCTTGTTTTATGAGTCAGGGTCTTGTTTCTGAGACTGGGTCTTGTTTTATGAGTCTGGATTCTTCAGATCTTGATTTAGTGTCCTTTGTCTGTCTGGTTCAGAACTCGGACCCGGGGGAGGTCCCGGTTTCGGGTCGCCGGGCCTCTCTGTCTGACCTGAGATGTCTGGACGACATCGAAGCGCTCAGCGTCCGACAGCTGAAGGAAATCCTCGCCAGGAACTTTGTCAACTACAAAGGCTGCTGTGAGAAGTGGGAGCTGATGGAGAGAGTGAGCCGGCTGTACCAGGACCAGCAGAACTTACTGGGTGAGTACCAGGACCATAGAGGGTCAGGACCAGAGACGGTCAGTACCAGGAACAAAGACGGTCAGGACCAGGAACAAAGAGGGTCAGGACCATAGAGGGTCAGTACCAGGACCATAGAGGGTCAGGACCATAGAGAGTCAGTACCAGGAACATAGAGGGTCAAGACCAGGACCATAGAGGGTCAGGACCATGGAGGGTCAGTACTACGACTATAGAGGGTCAGGACCAGGACCATAGAGGGTCAGGACCGTAGAGACTCGGTACCAGGACCAGCAGACCCTCCTGGGTGGGTCGGCTGATGGTTTGATGCGACCCACAATTCAATGCTAAGCTAAACCATCCATCTCCAGGTGGGTTGATTAGTTTTATAAATACATTTATAAATTGTTAACTGTTTGTCTTTCAGCCGCCAGCGCTGTGAACGCCTCTGGTGAGTTTTGTGTTTCCTCTGAAAAGATAAGATGACAAAGATAAATAAGCAGTATAGAAGACAAACGATATCAAAACAGAACAATCTATTTCTTCATTTATATTTGTCTGTGAATTCCTTTGAGTATTTGATTCATCGTTATCAAGCTATTTTCATTTATTTATTATCTATTTTGATAATTCTTAGTTCAACGTCCTTTTTAGAGACAAATGCCCAAAACTCTGCTTGTCTAATGATATCAAACTGAATATCTTCGGGTTTTGGACTGTTGGTAAGGACTACTTATTGACATTATACAGACGGATAAATGGATGAAATAATTGGTAATAAAAGTAATAAGTTCACTGTGTCCTGTACGTCTCGGTCTCCCTCCAGAGTCCAGCGGTGTTGGTGGATCTGCAGGTCCGGAGGAGAACCTCTGTAAGATCTGTATGGACTGTCCCATCGACTGTGTCCTGCTAGAGTGTGGTCACATGATCACCTGCACCAAGTGCGGCAAAAGGATGAGCGAGTGTCCCATCTGCCGCCAGTACGTCGTCCGAGCCGTCCACGTCTTCCGGTCCTGAGCCAGCAACCCTGACCTGAACCCAGGTGAACCACATTCCAGTCTGATCCACACCAAAAATCTACTTCCAATCCCAGTTTAACCAACCCAACGGACTTCCAATCCCAGTTTAACCAAACCAACGGACTTCCAATCCCAGTTTAACTAAACCAACGGACTTCAATCCCAGTTTAACGAAACCAACTGACTTCCAATCCCATTTTTAACTAAACCAACCGACTTCCAATCCCAGTTTAACCAAACCAACCGACTTCCAATCCCAGTTTAACCAAACCAACCGACTTCCAATCCCAGTTTAACCAAACCAACTGACTTCCAATCCCAGTTTAACTAAACCAACTGACTTCCAATCACAGTCTAACTTAATCCTTCATTAACCTCTTAAACTCTCCGTCTCTGTAAACTTGTTCAAACTAACTGAACTCTTTTTTTTTTTGAATGGAGATCCTAAAGTTTCTATTTATTGTTTCTATTATGAAATCATCTTCTTCTTCTTCATCTGCAGGATGGTCATCAAAGGAACAAACTGAAGGGACCGTCTACAGCTGTGTTTTATTTTGGTGACTATTTTTCTAGTGTAAATATGAAGACGAATGTAAGAAGTATCCTTATGTTTGAACATAAACACTAAATGTACAGACCGACTCTTAAGATTTTAACCTTTGAACTCGTGGCCCAGAGAGACTCTACCAAAGAGAAGCTTCACCTGGACAGGTGAGGAGGGTCCAATGTCACCACGCGGCCTTTAACTCACTTATTACAGCCTTTACTCTGTTTACACTGTAAAAAATAACTCCATGAAGTGAAGCTAAACCACTTTCCTCGCTGCTTCAGTGTAATACAATCTGCTTCAGACCAGCAGCCAATCAGAGAAAAGACATCAACGTGTTCATTAAACTGCCTTAAACTCAGATTACCAGCAGGAGAATAACGTCTGACCTCCACACACACACAGTCTGAGCCCTGGCCCCAGCCTCAGGTGATTGGTGCTGCACCTGTCAATCATAGCTTTTACCTTAAGACGTGCAGGTGAGCAGAAAGATGTGAACGTTGGTTTAATAGAAACAAAAGAGGACCCAGGACGCGTCCCTGAGGAACTCCATGTGTTATTAACAGACAGAACAAGAGGATTCAGGCATCTTTACCAGCAGACTGTCTCTGTGTTGTTGAACAGAAACTTTATCAGTTAAACTCTTTGGTGTGAAGTTGACTTTGTGTCGTCGTAACTCTGAATGCACTAATCTGTTGATGTTTGAACTTTTTCTTTAGTTGATTTTGTTTTGTTGGGACAAAGAAGAGGAACTTGGTCCAGAGGGACAATGCAGGAAATATTTTTGTTTTGTTTGTTCTTGTGAGATCATTAAGGTTTATTTTTGTTGTGAATATGTTAGATTAGTTTTTCTAAAATGATGGTTGGTATTAACAGCCGTTCTTACTTTGGGATCACACGTTCATCTTCAAGTTTAACTTGTGGAGCATTAGTTTCCCTGTACTTTGATTCCTCAGCTACAACATACGTACATAACGCAATAATCACAGTTTTATTTGAACTCTTCAGGTATCTGTTAGCATTGTTAGCTGTCCCTACTGAGACCAACACAGCTGGAAGCTAACGTGCTAGCATCCGGTTGTTTCTCTCCTCGGTCCAGCAGGTCTGAGTGTTGAGGTTTGTTAAAATAAAGCAGTTTCTACTTTCTTGATTGTGTCATTTGAATAATAGTTTGAGGATCAAAGGGTTCTAACTTGTGACCCACTGGAGGGGTCCCAACCCACAGTTTGGGAACCACTGCCTTAGTCTCAGTGAGACATGCTAACGCTGAACATTCTGATTTTAATCACACTTCAGATACTTCGTGATGTTTTTAAATCTGGTAAAAAATGAAATACTGTACATTTGAAGAAGCTTTAGTTTTCTGAGTGAATTTTTGTAATAAAACCAAATCTCCGGTTGTGCGTCCATTCTGTCCTTGCATTACTTTTCTCACTCTGTTGGCAGAACACATGGAGTGGTGTTACGTAATTACAACATTTACAACTCATGAAAAGATGGTTCATTGGAAAGAATGAGCTGCTTATTAACATTTCTTCTCCCGCAGATATAATACAGGACACGCTAACTCCATTGGATGGGGTTCTGCTGCTCCACATCTAAATCCAGCACCACTAAAGTACCAAAAGATGGATGTTCTTTGATGACGGAAGTGTTTTTTACAGCTGGAAGTCGGAACTTGCTGTGGCGAAGTTCCTCTTTTCTACTTCACTAAATGAAGTCTATTGTCACTCAGGTTTGGTCTTGAACTAATCCAAAAGTAACAGAAAGTAATCAAGTTACGTTACTTTAATATTGTGATACGTGTATTTGGTTAGTGATTACATCTTACAGGTAGTTAGTCATTTATCGGAATACATTTTAAAGTGCAGGTGTGACCATATCAGTGAGGCCTCATCAATGTATTCTGTCTCCTCAAGGCGGCTCCATGTCCTCCTGGATCAACTTTTGTCCCTCGTAAAGAATGATTTATGGTTATTTAGTTTTCTGATGCAAGGGTTCTAAAATGCTGTACACATTGTTTAGAGTACTTAAAGTATAAAGTAGCATCACTCAATATAGTCAAGTAAAGTACAATTACCTAAAACATTGTACTTAAATACTGCTAAAGTACTTAGTTACAACTCGCTACTGATTATTTGTAATGTTTTAAATTAGACCTTACAACATTTATATTTATTATGTTTGTTCTTATCATTTGTTTTATTTTTCTAATTATGTTGTATCTTAAGAGTAATGGACATTTAAGGTCACACAGAGCTGATATATTTAATTTATCATAATATTAAATATGGGCGGGGCTATGTCTGTCCTCGGCTGTCCATTGGGTGTTTTGACTTTAGAGGGCGGGACCTATGCTGTTCATTGGGCAGTGGGCGGGACTGTGTCTGTCCTCGGCTGTCCATTGGATGTTTTGACATAAGGCTGTTCATTGGTCAGGTGAAAGGGCAGTCGGCGGGGCTCAGTTTGAACCAGAGTCCCGCCGCAGAGAGAAGTGTCAGGTTTCATTTTAGCATAAAGCTAAGCTAGTCCTCCATCATCATCATCATCGGAGAGTTTAGATAAAGTGACCGGCTCCTGGTTCACCTCAGTGGGCCTTTAATGGACGTGTAGACGGTCATTGTGTCCGCGTGTGTCGGCTCGGTTCGTAGCCGTGTTAATCAGAGGAGTTATATTAAAGTTAGAGTGAGACGGTGGTCATGGAGGACAGCGGCTCAGTTAACCCGAAGAAGAGGAGGCAACCAGCGGGGAGGAAGAGTCGACAGAGCGGGAGGACCGCCAGCATCCGGGTACTGTACGAGCTAACCGTTAGCATCACGGCTAACCGTTAGCATCACAGGTCTAAGAGGAGTTTTACCGA